TATTTGTGCCGATGTGGGAATGATGGTTGGAATTTTAAGCAACATATTTTCCATGTTCTGTCTCAGAAAATCTGTTCTCTGGGCACTGGTTGTATACTTTCTGCCTAGAGGGCTTTCAAAATTAAGTAAAAACAAACAGAAAATGGCATCATCTCAAGGATTTCTCCCCTCCGCAATGTTTTGCTGTGAAGGAGAAGAAGGCAGCAATTTGTGTCTTGGCACAAAGTAGGTGCCACTTCAAAGCTCCACTGCAAGAGTATATGCAGACAGGGAGCTGAAGGCGATTTTAGCTCTTACTAGGTCAGAGAAAAATTAAAAATCGGAATTTTCTCGAGCTTCTCTTGGAAGAGCAAAGCTAAAGACTGGAGAATATCCAGAATCTCACAGCACTCTGAGTCAGAGAATGGGTTTTAGTACTGCCTGAGGTTTGTAGCTGCTGAATATCACTAAGCAGTCTCTTTTGAGGGGGTAGGGAGGGAGGGATGGAAACGGCATTTTGAGGTAAACTGTTTTTATTATTAGTGTTACTATTATTTGTATTGGGCTAAAACTACAAATGTTTGTGGGATCCCTTGCACGAGTAAGGTTTACCTAAGTAAACGAGGGCTGCATACAGTGTGATAAACTCACATGCTTGCTGACAGTTACACCTGAAGTCAGGGCAAGCCTTGCTTTTGACTGCAGTAGGGGAAGGATTTTGACGTGGGATTTTTTGAGTCTGTTGGAGCATCATGTCTGAGAGTGGAGCCCACCTCACCTCAGCCATCCTCAGCAGGCAAGGACTGATAACCGATTACACGCACAGTCAGGACTGACTTGTTTGCGTAATCGATCTCAATACGTACGTGTATACAGATGGAGAAATTGTTATTTCCATTTTATTATTGCTTAATGTTACAAACAATATGTTGATGTTAATGTTGAAATGTTATATGTATTCACACTTTTGTATATACACATATATATCTATATATCATATATATCACAGACATATGTTAAGATACATATATTCACAGAGATATATATACAGACACATTATAATATACACATATGACAGAAAAGATTTGTAGTAATAAGATCAGCTGGTCACTCAGCTTAAGGATGTCCACATGACGGTGGTACAGCTAACAGTGTTTATCGTATATTTGTCCAGGATAGTACTAGTCACCTACTCCTGAGTGAGGAATAGGTAATAACTTGTAAGATCAGAGATTGCAAAAACGATGATCAGCAGAAAGGTGTGCTTATGGGAGAAGCAAATGGGTAGCGTATTGTGGCAGTCCTACTAGAAGAAGAAGGAAGAGAAGAGAGGTAGGTCTGGAAACCAAAGATAAGTTTAAACTTCTTCAAGTGAAGGAGAAAGACCCAGATGATGAAGTCACGACAGAGGTGGTGAGAGGAGGGAGCATGCCAAGCGGGACAATGGTGGAAGCGCCGAACTACAGTCCTCTCCCTGTACTGAACTCACGAGACTGAACTATTTCTAAGGTTACACATAGTGATACCCATCCAAGGGTAACTATTTCTACAGTTGTCTATGCCATTAGCTCAGCAGCAGATAGCCAATGCTCATAGCTTCGATTCTGTTGATTAGATATTTTGAACCATAAGTAGGCAATTCAACTAGAATTCCTATGCTTTGGGTTGTTTTTTTGTTTGTTTTATTAACTTATCACAATTTTAATGTGGGAATTACACCTAAAAAGGTACCTCGAATTAAACACTTAACAAATGTCAGCATGTTTGATAATATGACTTAATCTTCCTATTCCATAAGTTGCCTATCTATACAGTCACGATAACACCTTTGCATATTTCACATGGGCGTCAAGGAGGAAAACATACTGTCTTTGGTTCACTCATTTGCTGGGGTGACGTTTTGGAAAACCAAGAGTTTTCTATTCAAATGAAGGTTTAGGTTGTTCCTCAAATGAGGTCTGAGCCCCAGGTTGAAAGGTAAGGTTAAAAATTTAGGCAAAGAAACCATTCATTGAACACAGGGCAGTCTGTATCCTAAACGAGGCAGGGATGGCAAAGATAAAATATATAACAAGCAAATAAAAGCTGTACCATCTGCACACCCATCAACCTTCATTCAAACATTTCCTGACTTCTGAATGTATGACCTTGCAACTCTCCTATTTTAAGAGAGTTTACTGAGACATAACAGTAGTCAAATGTGATTAGCTCAACTGAGTAGTTTGAGACCCTTGAAGCTCAGTGCAATTGGGCTGTGGTAATCAAAATACTTGACTGTGTAAATGTGAACTGTATTGTATAGTCCGAAGTCTGTAATAAGCAATAAATTATAATGATGAGTCCACCCTGGCTAAATAGCACCTAGTATAGGTTCATAAGTAGACAGGCTACTGATTCCTCTTAGACAAGGGGACATATTTTTGGTCACTTTGATTTAAATTAAAATTCTGCCTTTTTCTTTGTAGGAATTAAAATGATGATGCTCATAGTGAATACTAGCATGATTTCTAATGTTCTTTCCATGGGCCAAATAATATTTTAAATAAATTATCTTTTCAAGCTGAATTAACTGAGCTTAATCAGTTTAAATAAAAACACCACTCATGGCTAGCATTTTAGATGATGAAGAGTTGGGGCTTAAGCTTCTTATCTGTTCATAAATTTTCTAATCTGTGAAATGGAGATAGTTATGTCTAAGGGATGTTATGAAACCTATGTAATGCTAGTAAGATGCTTTGAGGTCTTCCAGTAAAAGTGTGAGGAGTTAATGTCTTTTAATGCCAATTGACATTTTCCATGATAATTAATTCAATGCAGTTGTTAATTCAGTGTTGTAGAACTGAAAAAATATATTGTCCTGAAAACTAGAGAGAGACATTGATGGGGGGTCTGATTCATTGTTCTTGAACTTGATGGAAAGAAAAACATCACTGTTTCAAGTGGTATTGGATTAAGTCCCACAAATAAATATATGAGAGATCATCTCATTTCACTGTCCCCAAGAAAAGATGTAAAAAGGAAGTAGAGAGGAAGAATAGTAGGAAGTAAATTATACTTGGAAGGCTGAAATAATAATAAAAGAATATATATGTTCAGCTACATGAAAAACTCTTTGCCAGGATAGGGCACACTCCTGTGCTTTGTTTGCCATGCCAATAATGTGTGTGACACACAGTTGCAAGGCATATACCTTAAAAAGTAATGGGGAAAAATTGGGAGAGCTCCTGCATAATTTAGGATCGGGACCCAAGGCAGTCTAACCTGATCTGAGTTCAGGCTACCACACTCTCCCCGAGGAGGCTGGCTTGCGTAGAGAGTCTGCAGCCACACTCACGGGCTCCTGTATATTGTCAAACGTGATTTGAATGCCGTGAAGGTTTGACCTTTAACGCACAGATCCCACAAAGTACCTGAGTGTATAAACACAGACCTGATGCCAGCTTAGATGTTCTTAGGTGTGCCAGTACTGTCTGCATTCACCAGCTGTTGATCTCACAGGCATGGGTAGCTTGGGCTGGGCCGGTCAAAATGGTTACTGCCCGCAGTTCTTCTGCCAGGAGTCGGTGCTTTTGTGGCAGGGAAGTGCATCCCATGTAGAGCATTTGCTGAATCCCTGCACTTTGCAGTGTGAGAAATAAACTTGGTGCTGTAAATTTGAGAAGCGCAGAAGCTGCTTCATCTTCTATTCAACCATCCCCTTCCCTGGCGAAGAAGGGGAGTGGGAAGCTGTGAGCAGGGATGCCTTCAGGCGTCTGAGTTCAGCCAGCCTGGTTGCAAGTCAGCAGCTGGGGTTACCTGCTGCGGGGAGAGATGTTTATCAGCTGCTACGTGTGGAGGGTAAATTTCTCAGAAGTGCCAGACTGCCTCTCTCCGTGCCTTCACAGGAGCCGTCACTTCACCATATGGCTGTTCACTCCAACTGGGCTGGCACAAGTGAGATTGACAATACTTCGTGCAGTATTTAATCTGCATACAGCGATTAGACTGGCCCTACAGAGTAATTGGATTACCAGAGTGTTTGAATTAGTTGGTGAGATAAATAACCCTATCCCATAGCATTAATAGGATGAAGTCCAGCACGGCTGAAGCTTTGCCACGTGCCCTCAGCTTGAGCTCCAAATGTCACTTGGGTTTTGATGTCCATATGTAAACAGAATCAGGATGGGAGATTAACTTTTCCTAACAGTGAAGACCGGATTTTACAAGTGATGCTCACATTTTATGGCCCGTGCACCATGGTTCCGTGGATCATTACAGTGGCCTCTCAGATCACTGACCAAAACTGTATTGGTTTGGCAGTGGGGTGCAGTGGGGAGTTACTCTATTTTGCCATCTGCAAATGCTTTTCCCTAGAAAAATATTTGGCATTCTTCCCATGGGAAATAAACATAATAATTAAAATGCTTCATGTCACAGTCTTTTTTTGTGTGTTGTATGCTTCTTTTTTTTAAAAAACAGGATGCTGCATTTTTTTCCATGAAAGCCAACCGGCCTGGATGAGGATGTTATTCCCTTTTAGAACAGATCTTTCTAGCTTCTGTGTAAGGGTTTTTTTTTTCCTTTAAAACAGTTTGCATGTCAGAAAGGCTACCCTGTGAGTTGCTTGCTCTGAGCAGGATTTGTCTCTCCCAACTCAAAACATCTACAAAGCAGACAGAGGTATCTCCAGCTGAGCTAGTCACCCCAGTCAATGGTAAAGAGCTGCTTTTACGTGTTAAATGCCTATGCTAGGATGAGTTCAGTTTCACTCTGGAAGTACCTTTTTCCATGGACTGTAAAGGAAGCCTCACGGAGCCTCGCTCAGCTGAAGGCATTGGGTCAGATGAATCCCCCCTTCTGTGCCTGAAATTGTGGGAGAATATTTTCAGAGAGCGTCCATGAAAAGCCAGACCACTTCTCCTGCAGAATCAGAGGAAACAAGATTTCTCAGGGTTTCTTTAAAATAAAAATCTTTTTCTACATTTTTCGCAAACATCAGCAGTACGAGAATAAATCTATTCTTAACTGTGCTTTTTCTTTAGTGTTGGAAAGGAAGATTTCGACAAGACAAAGCAGAGAGGAGCTGATAAGAAGGGGAGTGCTGAAGGAAATGCCCGAGCAAGGTGATAACACGTTACCTAGAATTTAGCTCCTAAGTGCTAAACATGGATGATAAAGCCACTATTGCATTGTTTCCCTGTAGTATAAATAGGTATGAGGCGTGTGAGAGGTGACAAAAAACTAAAGTTGGAGTTGAGAAATTTGTGTTCTGTAACTGCTTCTGCCATAGGTACACCGTCTGACTTCTGGTCATATCCTTAAGTATTTTGATGATCCCTGTAAATAATGCAACTCCTGTGGTTCCTACTTATTGTTTGCCAGATTTTTTTTAAGTTAGTGATTAACCTAGTTTTTGAGTCAAGGTCTGCTGTCTAAAGCAACTGGAGTATAATATGGGAAATTTTGGCTGAAAAATCAGACCCCCAAGCAAATCAATAGCATCCATTTCAGGTATCAAAAAGTACCAGTGCTGGGATCGTACAGATCCCACCACTGTCACACACACCACATTCACAAATGGCACAAATGTAAAACTGTGGGGAAGACACCACTTGTTTCAAAATGCTATAAGGTTTAGTGACTGGTATTAACCAGAATTTAACCAGAATTTGTGTTTCGAAAAGCATGAGTAAACCATGGTTAACACGTCTGTGCTACATCTGGTTATGTTTCTAGTGGTATTCTTTCTAATATGCTTGATCTTCTATAAATCTAGATCAAATAAAAGTCAAGTGAGTAAAATAATTTTCTGTAGCTTAAAATTAAACCATTCGTCATTTTATCGAGGAGTCTAAGAACTCCATGATTTCCAAAAATATTTTTCTCCTAGAAATTGTGTTACTCTGCCTGAGCTAAAGAATCATGAAAGTATCAATGTGTATGGTTAGTATCATACACATTAATATTTAGAAGTAAAGGGCTTGTTTGTTGACATGTGACATCACTTGTCTTTGCAGTGTTTCGCTAATTACCAGGCTATGGCATTCAGCATAGCTGGCTTCTGAACTTGTCTCTGCCACTGTCTTTGACTTAAAACAAGAAACGCAAACTCTCCATACCCCAATTTGTCCCTCTCTGAATTTGTTACATTTTTTTGCTACATGCTTTACAGGGGAGCTGCGTGCCTTTGTCCATTGATGGTTGTAAATTGCATTTAGACTGCTGGGACAGTTAATGAAATGTGTTAACATTTCAGGTTGGTTACAAAGAGTCTGAACATAAATACTATCATTTGCACTAAAACTGCGTATGCTTTGGTCAGCAGTGTCCTTGACCTTAAGAGGTCCGCTCTTAAAAGGGGATGGGACTTTGGATGCCTTACAGAGACTGAGCAAAGTGAGAAAAGGATGTAAAGATGAACAATTTTCTCCCCTTCCTCCCATCTTAAGAAGGCCATCAGTCTGTTCCGTGTTGCCTTCATCATGTTGTGCTTCCTGTCTGATGAAAATTACAGTTTTTAAGGAGCAGTCTGAAAGAATACAGGATTGGTTTGAAGGTGCTAAAAAAAGAGATACAGAAAAGACAGTGGTTGAGCAGTGTGAAGGTAGCTAGAAGGAATGTCTATGGAGATGAAAGCTAGATGGGGAAATTACATGGAGTCTTGAAATGTGAGAGGTAAGAAATGTGAAGAAGTGACTGTTTCACATGGGATGAAGAAGAAAGAAGTGGAAAGTGTCAAGTGCCACTTGGAGGCAGGAGGTGTTTGCAGTACCATGACATGGATAAGAGGTGGGAATGCAACATGTGGAGGCAGAGAGGAAAGAATGGATTTATGAACGTCTGGAAGAAAGGAGCTGAAGAAGCTGAATGTTGCAGTAAGGTAAGAAGGAAGCCTTGTGCAACTGTCAGTTATAGTGAATGAGACAAGGTTAAGAAGGCAGAACTTAGTTTTTACACATCAGGTTGAAGTTAGTGTGTGGGTGAGTATGAAACCATCAGCTTAACCTGTGGAGCAGCCCAAGGTGGTAAGAGAGAGGCTGCATAATTGTGTTGAAACCAGGGAACTGCCAAACATCCAGGTCTGATAGTACACAGCAAGGAAGAGGAGGAGGAGAAGAGAATGGAATTACCACAATTAATGAAGAAACAACAGGAGGAGCCCGAAGAGACGCCAGGTAGATTTGCATAATTTTTTGGATGGACAGCAAGAGAATCCTGCAGAAGGAAAGCAATCATCTATGTGAACTGCAGGTGGGGTGTGAGCAACATAAGGATAACAAGCCTTAAAAATGACCAGAGAAGAAAATCAGCAGCAATTTTAAAATGCATGGAACAGAGAACAGAAATCGGTAAATAAGGGAAGAGAGAAAGCTGTGAGCCAGCAAGAGTATGTAGCGTTTTTCAGGAATTATAGAGACAAATAGGGAAGAGAAAGAAGTTCTCTTCAGGATTTGGAAACCTCATAGCTGAGGTCATCTGGGTAAGTGAGTAAAATATCATCAGAGCTGGGAAAGAATTTGACTTGCAGAATTTAATAATGGTACGGTGCGTGATACAGGAAGACCTCACCTTGGTTCTGAAGACTGGATACTGACTTTGTGACCTATTTTATTCATTAACTGGGCACACGTATTCTGGGAACTTCTGTCTGAATTCCTGGCTGATTTACCTACTGGGATGCACCACAGTAGTCCTGCAACTCTGCCCCCTAATTGTCCACATTTGGGGCCTGTTGGAACATGTTGCAGCTCCGTTGTGGTCCGTGCACACATTTCTTTGCTGTGTAAACCAAGATGCAGGGAGGAAGAGAACAGGATGCTAGTGTGTACAGACATGAAACTGGACCTGAAAACCCATGTGCACTCCCAGTCCCACTACTGCAGAGGTGTCCTCCCAGAGAACGTGGAAGCCTATAGAGTTCCTTTACAGCGTTAACTTTTCAGAGCAGATCTGCAGCCTGATGTTTCACATTTCAGTAAATCTTTCTTCTTTGCTTCCATGAAAACTTGAAAGCAGAGGGATGCTGTGTGTTGTCAATAGGTGCTAAGGAAGCAGTTAAACTAGACAATAGCTTTTTAATTTTCATTTCAGATGGTGATGTAACAGTAAATTTTGAAACTTCAAATGGACACACCATAGCCATTGGTGAAGAAACCATCCAGGAAGAAAATGTGGTAAAAGCCAGTGGAGATAATGGTACTTTGTCAGAGAAAGCATTAGCATTGGAAGGAAAAAAAGAAGATCAAAAAGGTAAATGAACACATTCTTTACAAATTGTTTTTCACCTACTTAAAATATTAACACGTTCTTCCATTAGTACCAATACATGCTGTGAGTTCTGTTCTGCCACAAGGATGCCAGCAGAACATGCCGAGAAGATAAGACTTGTGAAACATCAGTATTTCGTCACTGGTAGGCATGCCTTTTACTGTGGATATAATAAGGTCATAAAGAGAAGCATGGTCTGAGCATGAAAACGCGTGCAGGGATGTTCGATTTCTAAATTCAACGTGAGCCTTTCCTTGTAGCCATGGGCAAGCTTTGGCTTCAGGTTTTCCTTTTGTGAAAGAAGATACTAAGTGCATGTGCATCACCTTGCAATATCATTATAGAAGTGGCTCATGGGTTGAAAGTTCAAAAGTGTTTACGCCACTTAAAAACCATGTATCATTTTCAAAGTAACTTCAGCAACTCGTTCCTGTTGGTTTTCATTAAATCTTAAACACTTGCAGTCCAGCTCCTCAGAAATATTCAAGGGGCTATATCACTACCGCAAACTGAACCTTTATTTTTATTTATGGAGAATGTACTTTATGACTATAGGGTTTTCTATAGAAGAGTTGCAGTAAATTCTGCTAAATATTTAGCAGTCCCAAAGTCCATATTAATTTTGTTACCTTTACTCAGATCTACCTTGGTAACAAGAGTTTGACCGAGTAAGAAAAAAGTAAAGATTAATGCAGAATCACAGGATTTGGACCAGTTTTATTTTCTTTCTCTAGCCTCTTCTTTTCCCTGTCAAAAAGTGTTCTTAAATACTATTCCATTTATTGGATTTTCCTAGAGGAAAGGGCAAGGATACAAAAGATCAAGAACTTCATGGCTGGCTGTTAGACTGAGCAGCCTTTCCAATGTCTTCTAGTAACCTCTACCTAGTGATGAATGAGTCTCTGGAGGTTGAGAGGGTCAGTTCAGCTAACACAAAAATTTGAATTCTTCTCTGAGCTATGTAAATCACTTGACTATGCAAAAAGTGGCTGGATGTCCAAGGAGAACTGCCTTTCTTATGAGATTTCTAGTACTTCCTGTCTCCCAACAAGACAGAAATACAAGATTAGCCTTTTTCATGACATTTAAATACGTCTATCTTTTGGTGCCAACTGGAACCAGATGTGTATTGGGTCAGGGGAAAAGAGTTATAAAAGCCATGGAAAACTCCTTTAAAATGGTTCAGGTTAACTTTGGGGTTAGATCAGACCACTTACTGTTTTATGCGTCCCTAAATACAGCCTTTTGGAACTGTCAGGTCTTGGAATTTTTCCTAAGGTACAGGGTTTTTTTAGAAATACACATTTCTAACTATGTTGAAATCCCCTCTAGCTGACTTTGCAGAATGTAGAACTCCAGTGAAGTAGGAAAGGTTCAATATCTATTTCAAACACATTATTAGACTCTGCGTTCCCTATATATATTGTGTTGACCTTACAGGGAGAAGTTAAAAATTATTGCTGTACAGGAGTAGACTCAGTACAGAAGAATATATAGCTATCACTCCAGTCCCTCTCAGAAAATGAAGTATATATGGAGGAGGGAGAAGGAAAACAAAAAATGAGTAAACTTGGTATTCTAGGCTTCATAGAGTGTCAGTATGACAACATAGAAAATGCAAAACACTTCAAGTATACTTTCCTGTTACATCTAAACATGAAGTTCTTCTACACGTAAACATCTTGAGTACCCTGAAAAAGGAACAAGATAGATTTATTGCAGAGGAATAGTCTGCCCAAAAAACGTGTTAAGAATCAATTCCACACATCAGCAACGGTGTTACACAGTGCAAATCCAGTACAACTCACTGGATAGTCATTGTGAACACAGTTATTCTTTACTTTATAGCACATTAAGCAAGAAGGTGAGCTAGTCTGTTGAACTCAATGGAAGAGTAAGGTGCACTGCATCTCACAGATGCATCTCACCTGACAGATTAGTCCTCGGTGATTATGTATGCATTACACCCACACCCACTGGCAGAGCGAGAATTAGCAACCGCAGAGTGGAGGTAATGCTCATAGAGCGTCAAAATCAGAGCTGAAGCAGGAATACCTAGCTCACTGTCTTCTGCTCAGACCATAAAACTTGCTGGTGTATCAGATCACAACCCTCCGTCATGAGAACTGAAATAGGTGGAATGAATACTGGCTGGACAGTGGGAGTAATGGATACAAGGGGTTCATCTTTAGTGAGGCTAATGTTAGGCTTTTTAGAGTAATAAACTCTTATGTGTAAATCTTGAAGGAAGTTATATACACTTCCCATGTTTATAATCCTCAAGACAGGATTAAAAAAATGCTGTTCAGTACCATGGTGTGCTGCAGTTCCAACTCCGGCTGAATCAAAACATTCCAAAAAATGTATCTCAGCCCCTGAAAGTTATGAGGTTATTTTAAAATCCTCTTATGAAATGGTGGTGTCTTTGCTTGCCCTCTTGTTGAAGTGGAACTTGAAAATGGCCTTGTCATATAAATATGATGGCTGCTGGAGCTGGAAGCGTAAAAAGAACAAGTGATACAGGCACATTGTGATAATATGGTGAGAGTTGGCAGCAATGCGTGGTAGAATGTGGAATATGTTAGGAGTTAAAAGAAGTTAAAGGAAAAGTTGTTTCAGCATGAGCCACAGAAGTACAGTATCAACAGGGCAAACAATAGGCTCAGCCATGCAATGTAAAAATGAGTTAAGCAGAAGCGAGTGAAGAAGGCGACCCCCGAAAGCTGTTCCCTGTGCTGCCATGCAGTTCCGTCAACCGGGTACCCACCTGCTGCCTGGCAGCTCAGGGGTGCCTTTCGTATTTGGTGAAAAAATTCCCTTTGGCAATTTAATAGTGTAACTGTTAGTGTTTATAGTAGTGATGAGATGTCAGTCATCCAAGCAGGGTGTTTAAAAGGAAGCTGGTGACAGTTTTACATAAAATGGGTAAAACTTTGCAGATGAGAAATCAGAGAAATCTTTTTCCTAGATTGTTTATTCACATTATGTTTGTACTGGGTTGAGTTCTGAATTCTTTTGTTTTGTTTTGTTTTGACTAAGAAAAGTCACTAGCATCTTTTGCAGAAAATAAGGGGTTAAACTGTAGCCATTCTCTGTGAGCACCCTGGAAGGGATACAGAGTAGACAGGCAGCATGTCAGAGGACGCCCTGGCTGCCTGGGCAGCAGACCGGACTGCACCATCGTGCCAGGGCTCCTGACCTGTGGCGCTTGTCGGCAGTAGCCCCTGCAGACCCCAGCGCTCCAGGTTCCAGGTGGGGTATAAGCATCGCAAAGGGGATCCAAGGAGTCTCTCTGCCTCCTGCCCCCTACAGCAGCGTTGGAGAAGATCAAAAGCCACATCAGTAGAATAGGTGTCAAAGTTGTCGCTGTTTGCCTCCCTAGGCATAAGGACATAACATGCTGACGCAGCATGCATGCTGCACGTTGTAAAACCTCCTGGTACTGTGTCAGAGCTGCTTTTCTCCTTTCCACCCTCTCAGGACGTCTCTGGCACACAGATGTACCAGAGAACCCTGAGTTTGTATCTGAATTCGGTTTAGGTCTTACTCATTTTTATCATAGCAAGCTAAATCTTCTAATGATTCTAGTAGACACTTCCACACTTCATTGTTAGCTTGGGCGTGAAGAAGTGAAAGGCTCAATAACCATTAGCAAGATACTGCCTGGAAAAAAGTAATAAGTTTCATTTTGCATAACGTCAGTCAGGTGTGTTAGATGCTGCTTTGATAAATAATTGCATTGCAGGAAGCCAGAGCTCTTGTTGCGGGTGCTGTGGGTGTTGTGGGTGACATGGAACGTAAGCTTCTGAAATGTTCCTATGCCATTTATAGCAGACTGATCCTCTCAGGTTTTTCATGTCCTTCAGTGAAGGAAACAGTTTGTAGTCCTGTTTTCAAATGAATTCATGGGATACATGCGCATAATGTTTTTTCCCCACAGGTTAACTCTAATATTAAAAGGTTCCAGGTCTTAGTATGTTGGGTTCAGAGGTTCTTTCCTCTATACTTTGTCTGCTGTCCCTTAAATCTGCCATTAAATTTAATCTTCTCTTTTTCATGGGTAACCAAAAAAGAGAAGGTTGGAGGCACAAACTCTGGTCTTATGAGCATTCATCGTTGCTGACCAACACTTTAGTTTGTTTACCAAGGAATGTTCTTGAAAGTCAGATTTTCTAGGTTCCTTTTTCTCAGAGGTCTTTGCTTTATTTCCCCAAAGTGGAACAAAACCTGTTGAATTTAAGATAGTAACCCTCATCTTCCAAGATCTCAGATAAGAGTCTGCTTTCTCTCAGAAGACCAATCCTGCAAACCACTCACTGTGAGAGATAAGGCAGAATTTCTTCCCTCTTGTGTGCCTAGCTGGCTTCCTACACTGCTGAGCTCTGTAGATCATCGGTACGAGCACCATACATAAAAGGGGGTTTTTTTGCCTGACTCCCAAAGAATCTCTCACTCCAGCTGAGTTATTTGCTGGCTAAAACCAGTTCTTCTAAGAATAGTATATCTTCAATTCATCACCTGAACTATGTAAATGAGGCTGAATCTTCTTAAAAGGAAAGCGACTTTAGATAAAGTTGTGTTTGGGCAAAGCCTGTCCACCAAGTCGGCCAGGCTGGCTTGTGCCAGTAGGCTGATGTGAGAGGCACAGGCTTTCACCCACAAAAGTTGAATGGCAGAGGAAAGCTCCTGATTTGTAAAACTGCTATTTTTTTTTTCTTTTACAGGAAAGATATCCTAATGTGGCTCCAGAAATAAGATTGTAGATGTGATTTTAATGAACTAACCACTGAATTATTTGAACATATCTATACAGAAAGTATAAGGGGTTCTAGAAGCCTACATGTCTTTCACTTTTCAAGTGTCCCATAGACCAAGAAATGATAAAAGTATGCAGCTGACAGTGAAGATGTTTTAGGTATTCTCTCTTGATTTAACAGCTTACTTTTTATGCAAAAGTTGGACAGTTAGCGATTTAAAATGAC